AGAGAGCACAAGCAGGGGGAGTGGCAGGCAGAGGGAGAGGGAGAGGGGGAAGCAGGCTCCCCACAGAGCAGGGGGAGCCCAATGTGGGACTCGATCCCAGGACCCCGGGATCATGACCCGAGCCAAAGGCAGTCGCCCAACGAACTGAGCCACCCAGGTGCCCAATAAAGCTGGTTTTAAACCCGCATCTATAGTAAAACATTACTTTGTTTCAGTGGGATTTTAAAAGATTCAACTTTCAGACTTAGCATTTATGGAAGGTTTCTTAAATTACTCAAAAAATAAAGTCTCCTGTAGCAAATAGTGGTGGTTTAGAACTTTGGGTTATATTACGAGAATCCAGGTAGAGAAGACTGCTGACAAATCATGCCAAGTGCCTGTAACTGAACTTACTACTGTGTAATCACCTAAACTACGCAGGTAGAAGTGAAAAACAACTGAATTCCTATAAGTTTTGAAACTACAAATCTTAAACAGAAAAGTAAAATCCTTGTAAAATATAAAGGACTGTACAATACAGACAGTATTAACCACCCACTGTTTGAAAGGTTCTTGAAGCTACTGTTCTCCATTTAATAAGTAATCAAAACAAACTCGACTTTTAGTAACTGATTAATGTTGCTTATCTGTTTCTCTCTGCAATATTAGGGCTTTGTTCCCAAGTTTTGGGTCTATGGATAAAAATGCAACCTATGTCAGTTTCTAGGAGACTCAGAATAGCTTTTATTACCACTCAACAGAATTTCCCATCATCAGTACTTAGTCCTCTTCCATCTGATTAACTTGAACTACAAACAATCTAGATGGCAACAGTGAGTTTATGTAGCGATTAATGGCCTCACATGCTACACCAATGGTTAATTCTGATTGCAAAGAATCCTGTGGCTGTTACATTAAAACCATTTTTCAGTACAGATCAGAGGGAAATGTGGCTGCCACTGTAAGACTGGATTATAACTGGAAACCTCAGGTTTTATTTTTGGTTTCTTTTTGGAGAACGTTTCCATAGGATAATCACACTTAACAGAAGTACTTAAGATCAACAGTGCTATATAAATAATTCAAAGAGTTCAAAGCACTCCCTAAAAATCGTTCCTTTTTTTTTTTTTTTTTTTTACTATAATAGTTGATAGCCTATTATGACAAATATCACCAGATTACTTTTCAACACAAAAGTACTCCAGTTACAAGCTTAGGGAACTAAGTAAACCTAACCCTTTAAAATAAACGGCTAATATGTAAATTTATATCATATTTTAATTCTTTGTTAAAAAAAGCAGACTGGAGAAATTCTGAAAACTAAATGTTATTTTGAGAGAAAGGGCTAACAATAGTTCTAAAGGTTAACCATTCTAAATTAGGCTTTCAATCTATGTAACTATATTAGTTAAGTATATGATTTAATGCATGGTATACCCAACACCAAATTATACTGGGGTTCTATGTGTGCCTTTTTTTTTTTTTTTTTTAAGGAGGCTCCATGGCCAGTGCAGAGCCCAACGTGGGGCTCGAACTCATGACCCTGAGCATCAAGACCTGAGCTGAGATCAAGAGCCTGACGCTTAACTGACTGAGCCACCCAGGTGCTCCATGTATGCTTTTAAAGTCATGACTGAGAAATTTCTTAATCATATTAAATACTCTGTAAGAATAAAGGATGGACAGTTATCATTCCTTTGGCAAATGGGAGAACAGAAGCATAGGATATGAAAGCACATTATTTATGAAATCATGTTGGTGAGTAGGGCCTTGTGACTAGAAAAATACTTTTCTAACTATGGACTTAACTTTTTCCATAGTCTCTTTGCGTCTTCATACCAGTTACTTTAACACAATCTAAATAAATCTGGCAAACATCAGGTAATACAGATGTAATACAGATTACTGGTGTGTTTCTTGGTGGTAAGTATCTCCAAATTATCACTGTGGTACTATGGGGTCTACAGTATCTCCCCCTTCCCCACTTTTTGTAATCACAGATTGGAAAACAACTGTTTCTATTTTGAAACATTCACTGTATGCAAGTTTCAGCTCCTTATGAACATGCCTGAGATGAACACTGAAAACAGTGGGGCTGGGAGGGAAACAACAGCCCAGGGCATACCTACAGCCTCCCTATCTTCAGGTCAAAGACAGCCTATTACAAATGCTGGCCATGATTTATCAGCTCCACTGCATATATTCCATTTGAAGTATTAACTCAGTCAAATTATGAAACATGGATACCTTTCCTACATAAAAATAAGAAAATACTAACTGCCATAATTTGTCATATAAATAACAAAACTTTATAATGTTATACCATTTTTTCCCTTTAATACAAATCCATCCAAAATAAAAGTTCTTGCTTAGTGTACATTTGTGTGGTAAAATCACATTTATACTCAAGGACTTCAAAACACTTACCCTAGAGCCTGGAAGGAAGGAATCGAAAGTGCCCAGTGCATTGATAAGAACAGCAGTCTGGAGGCAGACTCCCCAATGTAGTGCACATTCAGGTACTCAGGCATAGGAGAAGGCATGGTGAGCTAGTGTGAACAGGGACTGAGGTAAATTATGACAGTTCTAAATGATACTTTCTTTGAAAAAGTTACATGTAAACATATCAAATAGGAGTTTGATATATTCACCAAAAGGCAAATCGTGAAATAATCCAAGTGACTGGATTTTACAGCTATAAATAGGATTTAGAATGAGTAGATCATAGTTGCTAACAAAGCAATATTTAGACAAGCAGGATCCCATTTAATAAATATCAGGTATGATATTCTCTGGTTGTGTTTTTAAGTTATTTCTGTCTTGGTCTAACAATGTGCTTTTTTTCCTTTCTTCTCTTCCTTTATCAATAATGGTATAGTTCAGTTTAAGGAGTAATCCTGTGTGTTAAATGTTCCATTCACGCAGGCTATGTGGAGTAACAAATTCAAATCTTACAGGGTCAGGAGAATAATGAGTGAAGTGGGCCTGCTGGTGCCATCTGGGAAGTGCATATTCCTTTATCTGGGACTCGAATTCCATATATTGAAAACATATGGCAATTTGGACTAAGGACTGCCTGCTCTATTTTTCTAAGAGCAGGTTCTGTGTGCAACTCCCTGTTTAATCTACAGGTAAAACAAAATGTGTCTGTGGCTATAATACTCACAGGCTGTCCGTCTGTACTCCTGACCTCAGGTAGTCACTTTAAGTGTGTGTCAACTGTTGAAAATAAATATCCCACATCAAAAGCATTTTTGAAAAGCTTGTTAAAGAGAACTTTCATTACTATAAATGAAATGTAATTTCATCTATAACCTAAATTTCTATCACTAAGGAAAATAACCTATGCTATAGAGTACTTTGTAGGCATTAAAATTAGTGAGATAAACTGAGATGGAATGGCATAGAAAAAAAATACCTCACAGACGTCTAAGTGGAAAAACTACAAAACAATGTGTAGATGACCTAATTTATGTTAAAGAGAAAGGGACAGAGAGTGTGTGTGTGTGTGTGTGTGTGTGTGTTTAAAGGACGGAAGATCACAGCAAGTTAACACTGGCTACCTCAGGGGTAGAGTAGGTGGATGTACCCGTATGTATTTTTCTGAGGAAAGGATAGCTTTAATCAGATTCTCAAAAGTGTCTATGATGCCTAACAGATCAAAAGGTTTTCATCAAAATGATACAAAAATTCTCCAGAAATGTTAGGTAAAAAATATTGCCTTTGTTCATTATTAGCCACAAATGGTTTATCTATTTATAAATGGTGCCACTAATAAAACAACAGAGAAATTAACAGTTGAAATTTCATGTATAAGAATATATATATATATATTTTAAAATATTTTATTTATTTATTTGAGAGGGAGAGAGAGAGTGAGCACGGGCGGGTTGAGGGGCAGAAGGAGAAGCAGACACCCCACTGAGCAGGGAGGCAATGCAGGGTCTGATCCCGGGACTCAGGACTCTGGGATCATGACCTGAACCGAAGGCAGACGTTCAACCGAGTGAGCCACCCAGGTGCCCTGAGAAGAATATTTTTTATTTAAAAAAAAAATTTTTTTAAGATTTTATTTTTAAGTAATCTTTACATCCAACATGGGGCTCAAACTCACAACCCTGAGATTAAGAGTCACACACTCCACCAACTGGGTCAGCCAGTGGGCACCCTGAGAATATTTTTTAAATGCTTGAGAAATGTTTACTGGAGCAGCAAATTAAAATGCCACTATTTAAAGAGAATTCTTAAGAGAACTGTAGGCAAGCAGATATTAAACATCTTAAATGTAATTATCAGGATGCAACTGTTTCTATACGTAAGTATATAAAAAACAAACTGGGAACTATCATACCTTTTCAGAATTGCCCAAGGGGAGTAGAGGGGCAAAAAAGCCTGAAAGATCAGGGGAATTACCAGAGATTACTAGTTTTAGGGGGTTGGAGTAAGTAAGATGCAAAACAACAACTGTTAGTCACTTTTAAGAAAGTAAAATAGTTACAGTATTAAAAATTAGACATAAGGGCTAAAAGATACAGATGTACCCTCTTGACAAAAGAGTGGTGGTAATGTTGAAAACTTTCTGTGCTTTAATCATAAAATTGAAATCATTTGCAATACATACTAGAGGAATTCATTATTTAAAAAAAGACTGCCATGCATTGTATGGATGCATGTATTATAAAGAGAAGAAATATAATTTATCTGTTTTAATACTTAATTTTCTTAAACAAGATACACCTCTAGCATCATGAATCAGCCAGTACTGGCTTAAGAAACAAGAATTTATTCAACAAGTCTTTTAGATTGCAAAGACAAAGATTTCTTCCTCTATATAGAGAAGATGAGTTTCTACTAAAGATGTTAAAGAGCGTCCCAAAACTGCCTGTGGACTTTTAGGTTTATAAATTGAAATACACACATTTTAAAAATGATACACATTCAGTACATTGAGTTTTTTGTTGTTTTTTTTTTTAAGTAGGCTTCATGGCCAGCATGGAACCCAACACAGGGTTAGAAATCATGACCATGAGATCAAGACCTGAGCTGAGTTCAAGAGTTGGAGAGTTAACCAACTAAGCCACCCAGGTGCCCCAATATATTGGCTACCCATTTTAGAAGTTACTTGTCTACCATTACCTTTATAGCCCTTTCTGTAAGTCTGACAATAAGCTAAATGACAGAACTTTAAAAAAGTCATTTGACTTGAGTTAGGAGATCTGAATTCTATTCCCAACATGTCATTAGTTGTGTGATCCTGGATTACACATTATAATTCAGCAAACACTTACATCTTGAGATCTCTTTCTTTCTTTTTAAAGTAAATCCAACCCCCAATGTGGGGCTCAAATTCACAACCCAAAAATCAAGAGTCACATACTCTACCAACTGAGCCAGCCAGGTGCCCCAACTGAGATTTCACTGTAAGTACTAAGCTAAGAGCTAAGGCTTCAATAGAAGAATAAAGGGAAACAGAATGAGCTACAGAAAGGGCTAAGAGGAGGTGACTGGGTGGCTCAGTCATTAAGCGTCTGCCTTTGGCTCAGGTCATGATCCCAGGGTCCTGGGATCGAGCCCCGCATTGGGCTCCCTGCTCAGCAGGAAGCCTGCTTCCCCCTCTCCCACTCCCCCTGCTTGTGTTCCCTCTCTTGCTCTCTTTGTCAAATAAATAAATAAAATCTTTAAAAAAAAGAAAGAAAGGGCTAAGAAAGAGATGGCATTTCTGATAAATGATGGGCAACTGAATCAAAATGTGGAAGGTCCTAAAAGGTCATAAACTTTATCTCAACGAGCAATAGGAAGCTAATGAAGGCTTTTAGGTAGCAGAGTAACATAACTGGCCTTTTTTTTTTTGAGATTTTATTTATTTATTTGAGAGAGAGCGCACACGCATGTGAAGAGGAGAGGAGGGGCAGAAGGAGAGGGTGAAGCAGGATTCCTGCTGAGCAATGAGCCTGACTAGGGGCTCGATCCCAGGACTCTGGGATCATGACCTGAGCTGAAGGCAGACGCGTAACTGACTGAGCCACCCAGGCATCCCATAACTGGGCTGATTTTTAACAAATATCCCCACTCTGTTACCAGAGCACAGGACAAGATGAAGAGACTGGAAGCAAAGATATTACTCGAACCGTTTAGGTAAGAAATTTTAAAAGGCCTTGAAATACGGTGATAAAAATGAAGAGGAAGGGAGAAATTCAAACAAAAGAATGGTTAGGATTCAATTAGGGAATGGAGGGGAGTGAAGTATGGGGAGAATGATGATGACTCCCAAACATCAAACATGGTGACCAGAAGGACTATGGTTTTAATACTGAGATGATACATATGAGAGAACAGTTTTGGAAATCACCTACCTCTGTCTCATATACTTATTCCTAAATGGGAATTCTATCCACTTTGATGATCTATGTAATCAAATTGCAAGAATCAAGAATAAAGTATATAAAATCACACCAAAAACTCTGAAATTTAATAAAAATATTTAATATTTCTATTGTCCTAGATTCTACAGAATCAAATTCCAAGATGTATTATTAGACTATTTCTCCTTTCTGTTTGGATTGCTTTGAACAAGACACTGAAAACCTCCAAATCTTTTTTCATTCACAAAATGACAGTAAAAATCCAAACCTTCACAACCAACTGTGATTAAGGCTCAAATGTAAGAATGTACACATGAAAGCATGCTGCAAACTACACTGTACATAAAAATGCAAGATAGGAACAAAATGCTATTTAGCTCAGTTAAGAAAGAACTGAGTTTTTGATTACAGATGTCAGGTTTTGAAACTCATGACTATAAAACCTCAATGAGAAAGCCAACTATGAAAGTACTGAGCTGGGAAGTGAGGGAAAAGTAAAACTCTTGATTTCACAAAGGCTGGAAATGTAAACAAGCATCAGAGAAAGAAGCTTTGTCAGGAGACCAAGAAACTTCACAGTGCTGATTCTGAGGACACCCAGAGAACAGCAGGTCGAAGACTGTAAGGAAAAAAACCAATTCCAGAGATGGGAAAAAAGTTCTAATTTGCCTAACTCACCTGTCCATAACAAACATTTAAAAGAATCAAACATTTTGAGGACCAACATCAACAATTAAAAAAGGACTATTTCTACTTTCTATAGAAGTACTCTATACTTTTTCTTGCAATGGGTCCTCTTCCTACATGTCTTTTTCTTTCCTTCCCATTTAAATCTAAAGGTAGAAAATAAAAGTAAGACAACAAAAACATGTCTTTTATTTAGAATAAAAAGTGCAACTGGGGAAAAATCAGTTTTGCCTTGTTCCACCCTTGTCCATAGCTCCTACCATAAATTTAAAGGATGACACTGATTATTCCCATTATCTTTTCTTACAGCCCCCATAAAAAATTTTCATGTACAGTACACATAAAACATTTCTAATTTTTTTCATATAGGTTTATCTTTGGTAAAATTTTATATGAAGATTGGTTTCACGGTCTATATCAAATTACAGCAATTTACTAAGTCACTGAGTTTTCTCTGTGGCTACTTCTACCAAGTCAAATCTTACAAATATAAATTTTATTGTATGCAGTTTTAGCCAATGTTAGATTTGTGTTATTTGTACCAGTCACACAAACCGCTATTTGATAACTGTTTATATTTTCATTAGAAACCCACGGAAATTTATAATCTACAATAAAGTTATACACAATTTCCACCAGGTATTCTAGGACTGCTGTGTACTGCTAACTGAAATCTCCTATATACTTTTAATCACTTTGCATATGATTTGCTGATAGTACTCACAGCCGGCAGAGAAAAGATATAGAGTGGTTAAAATGGAGGGGTCAAAACATCAGAGTCTTAATGTAGGGCCTCAATGATCAGTGTATCTATAGCCATAGTCCAAACATTATCTGAATGACAAAGTTATTTTTTAATATTCTGCATGTATTGTTTCCATCATAAATTAATGTATTTAGGGGAGCAAAAAAGAAACTACAAATGTACCTCCTCCAAAATGGTTAAAGTGTAAAAAGTTAAAAGCCAAAAGTTAAAATGTATTAAATAATTTTTACATTCTTAATACTGAGAGCTAGCTAATTAGGGGACTACGTAATAAATGGGAGTTCTTTATAGTTACTATGGTAAGAATAACTGGGTCTCACATACTGGTTTATACCAAAGCATTGAACAAAACCGGTGTATACAAACATGATGTCAATACTTAAGAGTTAACAACAACATCCAAAACTTATGTCTAAATGTTCTAAAAGCTAGCTTTTATAGACTTAAAACCACTAATCAATATTATAACCATGATTTATAAATAGGATGCTTTATTGAGCCATTATTTAAATAGCCAGATGTGTATATTTCAGTTGCTATTTTGAATTCTATCAGGAATATTTCTGACTTTAAAAGCACAACAAATATACTTTGATTTCTGGAGGGAAGATTAAAATCAAAATGGATAACACAACATAAAAATTATATTAAGAAATATGGAAATACCCTGAAAGCTACATGTGAATCGCTGAGAAGAGGCCCCTCTTTTTCGATGTAATTTATGCTCGAGTCCCCAGCAATTAGGTGTACGCTTCCTTCCATGCCCTCTACTGAGCTCTGACAGGCTGTGCTCTCTCCAGGATTCAATGCTTTTGCAAGAGTGTCAAATGCCCTATTAGGAGACATCAGATGCTGTGAGCTTGGTCAATCTCCACAATAAAATAAAAATTCTACATAAAATTCTGGAATTAAGATTTAGGCCTAAAAAAATGATTGAGAATACAGAACTTTGATGTATCACTGATTACTCTATTTCATTGATATCTATACCTGTTTCCAAAAGCAACAAATTAAATTTGAATATGTATAGTATGAAAAGCTGTATTATATTAATGTATTATCAGAGAATTAAAGTCTTTAAAAAAAAATTTATGTAATTACCAGGAGGAAAAACCCTAAAATATGCTTTTACAAGTTATACATTTGATACTACAAGATAACAGACCATTTACTTTACATACAGAAGTTATTTAGAAAGAATAAGGGCAAGAACTTATGTCAACTTTACTGCATTCTACACAACACACATTTTATTTAAAAATTCAGAAAATATTTTAAAACTTGTGTTAACACAGCTACATCTGTCAGAATTTGAGATTAGGATGGCAAATAATGAACTAATGTTAGCAAATAATTATTTAAAATAGCTCCCCATATTTTTCAATGAGAGGCCTTTTAAAGAGTTACTTAAAATCTCATGTTCAACAAAGTACTTATTGAGACTCTTAAATGCAGTTTCCTCAACATTTAGATGATGAACAGTGTGAAAAAAAGCCTGAAGAGATCCAGTTTCTACATCCCATGTATTAATATAAAGAGAATGAAAAATAGAATTCTCACATAAGTTTCCCGAAGTGTAACTTAAAATTGTAGTTGATTCAATTAAGTGTTTTAAATCTATTTTCATCATTAAAAATTGGTGGGGAAAATGAACATGGCTGCCTGGGGTAAGACAAATGTTTAAATACACAGAAGATATGGGGTGGCTGGGTGATAGACACTGGGGAGGGTATGTCCTATGGTGAGTGCTGTGAATTGTGCAAGACTGTTGAATCACAGACCTGTACCTCTGAAACAAACAATACATGTTAAAAAAAAGAAGAAAAAGATAGGAGGGGAAGAATGAAGGAGGGGAAATCGGAGGGGGAGACGAACCCTGAAAGATGATGGACTCTGAAAAACTGAGTGTTCTAGAGGGGAGGTGGGTGGGAGGATGGGTTAGCCTGGTGATGGGTATTAAAAACGGCACGTTCTGCATGGAGCACTGGGTGTTATATGCAAACAATGAATCATGGAATACTACATCAAAAACTAATGATGTAATGTATGGTGATTAACATAACATAATAAAAAAAAAGTATGGGGAAATCTAAAAAAAAAAATAAATACACAGAAGATAAAATATCACCTTTAGCAAGAAAAAAATTCCTAAATTTTATGACTACATTTCTAAGCTTATAATATTCATTTATTGCTCATTATTTAGAATGTAACCTGCTGAATAACATTTTACAATTCTTGAATGTGCTTTTTCAGTTAAAACTATGCTTTAGATTTTCTAAGTCTAACAGAAATACTTGTTTTCTGAAACTTCTGTAAATAGTATTCAACATAAGAATATTCTAAGACATACTAATAAGAGCAAAACAGACCTTACCTTGAAACATCACCATTCGTCTGCATTTCTTGATGAAATTCACACAAAGAGGTATCACCATTACTTAAGCTTTCAATCATAGACATTTCATTACTATTCTGAGAAAGATCTTTAGTTTTTCCAAGATTTGCTAATGATGTAACCACACTGGCCAATGTACTTAAATCTCCCTGACATGATTCAGCCTTAAAAAAAAAAAAAAAAGTATTAAAATCTGCAAATTGGATCAGAGAACTTTTTGTCTGAAATATCCAATTCTAGATTATGAAATGCCAAAATTAAAGTACTTCTAAGATAACTGAAGCCTAGAAAGTAAAATCAAAGAGCTCTGAGCTTTTAGAAACTTCCTGAGGAAAATATAAGTTTAAAAACGTCAGGTACATTTCCTAGGAAATGTTTATACAAAAATTACATTAAACCAAAAACTGTACTTAATGACTAATCTATTCACATCAACAATCCCTTCCTTTGTAAATGGATCTTAGATGATCTTTTAAGTTCTTTTAGAATTAAAATTCTGACAATTTCCAAAACTTACTATATGAACTATAAAGTTGTACAGAATGTATTAAAATTAGTATTACTGAAAAAAGAAAAAAAGGTAAATGTGTATTACTGAACAGAATTCTTAGAATACCAACTTTTACCAGTCACTGGTATATGTTAAATACCAGGTGCTGTGTAAGTGAAAAATCTCTCATATTTAAGATAATGGTTTTTGTTTTTAAGATTTTATTTATTTGAGAGAGAGAGAGAGATTGAGAGAACGAGTGGAGGGAGGGTCAGAGGGAGAAGCAGACTCCCTGCAAAGGAGGGAGCCTGACACGGGACTTGATCCCAGGATCCTGGGATCATGACTTGAGCCGAAGGCAGATGCTTACGGACTGAGCCATCCTTGCACCCAAGATAATGGGCTTTTGCTATACACTGCATATTTTCCCATTTGTCTTTAGTTTTTATTTTTGTTAATCATCTATATATTCTTTATACACTAATTAGCTATAATTATTTTTTGAAAAAGTATTCTCTCTCCTTAACTGTTTGACTACCCAGAAATATAATTTCTGTAGGAAAGGCAGATAGATGCTTGATTTTTCTTTATCAATTTTCAGAGCAATGAGTCAATGCCCTTAGCAACCTCTACTGGTAACAGGTGAGTTTTAAGTATCACTTTAAATTCATAGATTTTTATATATTTGATGTGTTTCAATGAATCATTCTTTTTTAAATACTCAAATTATTCCATTCTAACCTAATGAGAGTCCCTTCAATTGCCTTCTATGGCCAACTGACTGAATCCTTTAATGAAATTTAATTCTTCCTTTACGGTTTGTAGTGTTTTTAATCCTAAGAAAATACATGTTTCCTTGATGTTTCATGTCTTCTCAATTCTTCAGTTTATGTGAAATTGGTTTTAGTGAACAGAATGAAACAATTTTTGTGCTTCCTAAATTAATGAATGGTCCCAGAATCATTTACTGAGAAACCTACCAGTTGTGTGGAATTCTTACTTGGTTCCTACTAATATACGTATTTTATTTAATCCTCATAACAACCCCGTGAAATAGGAGTCATCATCCCTTTATTACTGACAAGAATCCATTGCCACTGCAGCAGCAAATAGTGGAGGCAAGACTGGGAAGTCAGGTCTGATGGGAAAGCCTGTGCTCTTAACCACTGTTCCAGGCTTCGTATACATGAGGAAAAGGAGTTAACACTTTCAAGTGTTTTAAATTCAACTAAAACTTAAACATAGCTATTTGCTTCCATTTTCTAACATGCCTATCTAGCTAGATTAAACTTTTGCCAATGAGGACTCTTAGCAATGTGAAAAGACCTCATCTTGTGACTTTGTCAGAAACTTATACACAAGGTTATTATAATTCAATACAAAGACATATAGAAAAGTAGTGTCTGGGCAAATAATTTCTCAATAAAATTTAGTTGTCTTCCTTTCCTAAAGGAGTTAATACGTCAGTGCAATCGTAACTACCATCCTAACCTTGAATCACGTATATAAAGCGAAGCAAAATCTTCTAATTCCAAAATATATGGTAAAAGGTCAAATCTCCCCACTTAATGACAAAATGCTAAAGCCCAACCTGTATGGTTGACACTCTTATTTGCCCTACTTTACAGACGAGGAAGGAAACTGAAGCACTGAGAGGTCAAATAACTTGCCCAAGGTTATATAGCTAGTAAGTGGCAGATGAAATTTGATTCCAGAGCTCAAGTATTAAGAGTGCCTTAAGAATACTGGGTATTTACCCCAAAGATACAAATGTAGTGATCCGAAGGGGTACGTGCACCCCAGTGTTTACAGCAGCAATGTCCACCATAGCCAAACTATGGAAAGAGCCAAGATGTCCATCAACAGATGAATGGATACACACACACACACAATGGAATGCTACACAGCCATCAAAAAACCTGAAATCTTGCCATTTGCAATGACGTGGATGGAACTAGAGGGTATTATACTAAGCAAAATAAGTCAGAGAAAGACAAGTATCATATGACCTCACTGATATGAGGAATTCTTAATCTCAGGAAACAAACTGAGGGTTGCTGGAGTGGTGGGGGGTGGGAGGGATGGGGTGGCTGGGTGACAGACATTGGGGAGGGTTATGTGCTATGGTGAGCGCTGTGAATTGTGCAAGACTGTTGAATCACAGACCTGTACCTCTGAAACAAATAATACATTATATGTTAAAAAAAGAAGATAGTAGGAAGGGAAAAATGAAGGGGGGGAATCGGAGGGGGAGACAAACCATGAGAGACTATGGACTCTGAGAAACAAACTGAGGGTTTTAGAGGGGAGGGGGGTGGGGGGGATGGGTTAGCCTGGTGATGGGTATTAAGGAGGCACGTACTGAACGGAGCACTGGGTGTTATGCGCAAACAATGAATCATGGAACATTACATCAAAAACTAATGATGTAATGTATGGTGACTAACAACATAAAAAATAAAAAAGAGTGCCTTTAGAATATCAAACAAATGTATAATAAATCTGGCCATAAACTGGATGAATAATCTTATAGTTTATATAAAACCAGACCACATTACAGGCTGAGATAAATACTAATCATAGGCTCCCTAAAATCTGTTTCTAGACAAGAGTCTTCAGGAGAAATTTTTTTGTTCTCATAAGGGGTTTCTGAACACTGCAGAAATAAACCTTCTTTCCTTGAGACTCCTTGCTCAAAGAGGACTCCAACCTTTAAAAGAAACCAGATAACTCAGACACGTAATGAAAGCTCTTGCAATCCTATTCCTACTCTTGACTCAAGTCAATGTTTTGAGTAAAAGGTATGCTAGGAATTTCTCTTCACCTGAAATATTTTAAGTATTTTGTTACTGTAAAATCTGTAGGGGAGCATAAAAGAAATATTAAGAATTTTGCACTTGGGGCACTTGGGTGGTGCAGTTGGTTAAGTGTTGGACTCTTGGTTTCAGCTCAGGTTATGATCTCAGGGTCATGAGATCAAGCCCCCGTGCTCAGCATAGAGTCTGCTTGAGATTCTCTCTCCCTCTCCCTCCTGCTCATGCTCTCTCTCAAATAAATAAATAAATCTTAAAAAAAAAAAAAAAAGGGAATTTTGCACTTAATATAAATTTCCATTTCTGAGGACTTTTGAGATGAAAGAAACCTAGAAGACTTTTGTCTGTCACTTCCATTTTGAAGCTGTAATTGTCCTAGTGGAATAATGAACATTTCTACTGATAGTTATTCATATATGAGGACACACAAAATGGAAGCTATCCTGGTCACAAATCTAAACCCAAGTCAGCAAGCACTTACAGGAAACACCTGTTAAGGAAACCTAACATACACCAATCGCAATCCGCAACTCCACTTTAACTAGCTCACCTTACCCTAAGAAACAGGACCCACTAGCCTTACAAGGAAATCTTCAAGCTCCTAGCCAATAAGGCCATTTCCATATTGCTGTTTCTAATGTTCTCTAAAACTCACTCTTGCCCGAAATCCCTCAGCAAAAGTGCTCTCCTGATCTATGGATTGTTTTCCCTTGAATAAAGGCACAAATTTGTTACTAAATTGTTTTAGCTGTCATTTGACACTATCGAATAGTTGATCATTTATATTAAAAAAGAAAGCAGTTTGTAATAGGAATATTTAAGACCAGATCAATTAACCAAAGTAATTGCGGAGATTAAGAAAAGGAAAAAAAATATTTAAAGCTTAAAAAAATTTAAGCTTTAAATTAATTGCACTAAACACACCTTATCTGGTGTCATCAGCACAGTTGACTCAGTTTTTATTCCAGACTGGTGAATATTCACAAACATTCCTGAATCTAACAGTCCTGCTGACCTGTAACAAACAAGTACAAATTTTAGCCTTAGTTTCATTGGGAAGAAAAACAAATGACCAGCTCTACTTTATGTATGTTTTGCTTGTTTTTACTATACCGTGCAGTTTCACTATCTGTTACAAAAGTTGGAGTTGCAGCTAATGGACTTCGAAGGTCTTTTCGGATGTAGATTTTTTCTGTTGAAGCGGCACAGTTGGAAGATTTTTCTCGTGATACTTCAATAGGTTTTCTTTCACACTGAACAGCTACAAAAATGCATTAAACTATTACACCACAGTGTGGAATTTATAGGCAATTATAAATGTAACCATTCGGTCAGCAATGCTCACTGCTCATGGGAGACAAGTTACCATAAGTGAACTCTAAAGGTAATTCTTAATCTTAAGAAATTATTTCCAACTTCAACAAAGTTGCTTCAGAATAGTTATTTGCATCTCTTGCTCTCTTTTCTCTCCCTGACCCAGCTGTGGTAGAAATGTAGAGAAATTCTTATTTTTTAAAAGTTCACTGTCAAGAAGGAAAAGATACTGTCAAGAAGGAAAAACTGAAGATAGGAGTCTCTTACCTATCTATGCGAGAGTTAAAAAAATAATATTTGACCAATTGAAAACAATAGTAATAGAGAGCCACAAAAAGTTAAATCTTTTTTTAGTTAAGAGCAAGGAGATTTTTGAGAAGTAATTCAACCGTTTAATCTTCATTTATAAAATATAGGTAGTGTATTTCACTTATTTTATAGGAATTTTATTTCATGATACTTAGGAGATAGTATAGTTTAGTTGTTAAATGTACATTTTCTGAGGAAAAAAAAAACCTGCCAAGATTCAGATCCAAGTTCTGCCACTTATTAATTATGTGACCTTGGGCAAGTTACTAAATCTGTTTACTCAAATGTAAAATGGGTAAGAGTAGTACCTAGTGCATGGTGTTTTACTATAGGAATAAATAATTCATATGCTATACACAGAGTTAGGCATGGTGAGAGCTCAATCAATATTAGCTACCCTACTTATCACCTTAGTAGTTTAATCGGAAACTAAACTGGCATCTAGTTAGTTGTGCTTTTTTTAAAAAACCATGTTCAAACATACATACATGCATAGCATATAGGCATTCGATGAGTATCTTGTTGAATAAAAAATACGTGCATATGTACACATTTCTAAACTGTTAGTTGGAAATCTGTAAATTAAAAAGCATATATATTGACATATTGTGTTAATTTTGACATACTTCTAGAGGTTGCCTGAATTCTTAAAATTATTTTCTCCTTTAAAGCTAATACATACAGTCTTGTCTCATTCCAAACGCAATACATCTCTGTAACCTGCAGTATTGACAGCGGTTTCGATGGTGTTTATTGATAATACAGTCCTTTGATCCTCGACATGAATAAACTAAATTTTTTCGGATGCTTCTCTTAAAAAATCCTTTGCAGCCTTCACAGGTTACTGCTCCATAATGACGCCCTAGAGACAAGATGTTTAAGGAAACACAAAAGTCACATATTTTAGAACAGAAATAGAAATAAGCCCATTTCTTCCCTTTAAGTAACAATAATATATGTGATGAAATGGAGATTTTTGAGTTTGTGACATGGAAAAATTTTTTAGGAGTTACTAAACAGAGAATGAAACAACCATATTCTTTGATAAATATATTAAATAATATGAATTTTTAATTCTGTAAAGTAACTTTAACAATGATACAAAAAATTTCGGAAAGAGAAAAAACAAAACCACCCATGACACCATAAGTAAAAACTATTTTCACTTCTGAGATCACTTACAAATTATAATTCTCTTATATGTTATATAAAGATATTTTATTCTGAAAACTCTGCTCGGAAAAAAGATACATCAATTAATATTTGAGCTATAGTATTCTCTTTTTTGAGGGGTGGGGTGGGAAAGGATAGAGGGAGGGGGAGAGAAAGAATCTTAAGCAGGCTACACGCCCTGTACAGAGCCTCCATGGGGCTTGATCTAACGACCCTGAGATCATGACCTGAGCCGAAGTCAAGGGTCAGACATTTAATCAACTGAGCCTCCCAGGTACCCCTATAGTAATCTGAAGAAATCTGTCACACTTTGATTAACCTACTACTTCACAGGCCATTTCTTTGATACAACATCTATTAAATTGAACATACTCTGGGAAAAGCTGTAGTGTGAGATTTTTGCAATAAAGCTATGGAAAAGATTAAAGATTATATATGAGTGAACATGGGTGCTTTCCTGGCATAAAATAACAATGTACATAACTAAAATGACATAACCCTGAGTATTAGTAATAGTACTTGGAGAAATGCTGCTCAGTTATGCACAGCATTAAATAAAGAGTAACCAGAGCTTTTCCATCTCAATAATCTAAGTTACTCTATATTCCTGGACTAGCAACAGGGCTCAGCAGGTAAGTTAACAACTTAATGTTATGTATTATTAAGGACCACAACTCATTTTTAAGCAATTGCTTTGACAAAACTGATTTTACTTTCAAGAAAAATTTCCACATATTGTTTACATTTAAAAAGCAGAACTCTTGGGGTGCCTGGGTGGCTCAGTTGTTAAGCGTCTGCCTTCAGCTCAGGTCATGATCCCAGGGTCCTGGGATCGAGTCCACATCGGGCTCCCCCCTCGGGGGGAAGCCTGCTTCTCCCTCTCCCACTCCCGCTGCTTGTGTTCCTGCTCTCGCTATCTCTGTCTCTGTCAAATAAATAAAATCTTTAAAAAATAAATAAATAAAAATAAAAAGCAGAACTCTCTGGGGGACCTGGGTGGCACAGTTGGTTAAGCCCCTGACTCTTGGTTTTGGCTCAGATCATAATCTCAGGGTCAGGACACTGAGCCTCGTGTGGGGCTCCATGCTCAGTGTGGAGTCTGCTTGAGTTTCTCTCCCTCTCTCTCTGCTCCCCCACCCGCCCAAATAAACAAATCTTTTTTTTGTTTTTAAAGCAAAACTGTTTTTCACAATTCTTCAAAATACACATTTTATGTAATTGCAAGATCAAATTAAATTGCATTCAAGTAAAAAAAAAATCTTTGGGTGAATAAAAAGCTTTGGGGGGAAATCAGTTAAATTTTATAGGCCTCAAATAGGAACTGTAAAAACAACATGCTCTTTTTACTTTCAGAAGAAGAAACATGGTAGTGTGGTAGTTATTTTAACAACACAACACATACAGAAGGCTATTTTTAAAATGTTACCTGATGCTTTGTCTCCACATACTACGCAAAGATCAAAAACCTTATTTGGTCCTTGGTCTGGGGAAGAATTATCTGTTAAGAGCTAAAGAAAACCCCCCAAAACAAAAAACAAAACAATAATTTGTTAATAACACTCTTAGTTAAAATGTAAAAGAACGGTCTTAATTATTGCTTGCTTTCTCATAAGTTATTCTGGAACTTTGAACTCTATTATGCATATATCAATTAAACTACTATTAATTTTCTTTATATATAAGTAAAAATTTCAATGTTATTAGAAGCAAAGATCAGAATACCTTTTAAATTTGTTCCATAACAATCTCATTAAATACTGTTAAACACTCAAATACATGAGTATTTAATGTATCTTACCTATTAAGCACTTATTATTTGTTATTCATTCAACACATCAAATTACTGCAGCAATTATCAGCCCTATCATGACGTGTCTTTGAACAGCTCAAAATTTTTCCACGTGGAAAAATAAGCTATAACAGCATAAAAAGATAATTGAATTTTTTAAATAGAAAAGTACTTAAAAATTTTTTTTTATTTATAATTATGGAAATGATTGATAAACTTTTCATCGATGAGTTGTCTTAAGATCTGGATCTTGGTGTAATCGTTGACAACGTGGGCTGTAGAGTCTGATAAACGGTAGCAGGTTAGTGGGACTGGGTGGAGAGGCCTTGGGCAAATTACAAACCCTCTTTATAAATTATATAAAGAGTTAATCACTAGTTATAGCTAATATAATGCTGTAAAAGAAATACTAGTTTCTTCTTTTAGGTTTATCTTCTAATCTTTTAATAATTTTTTTTTTTCAATCTTTTGAAACGTGAACAAATTGATTCAATCCCAAAAATGTGATAGGGAATTCACCATATCACCTCCCCCTGGCTTTAAAACAACCCACAAACTAACCTCCACTTTGACTCTTTTTCTTCTCTTAGGGGTGTGAATGCCTTCAGGAGTAATTCTGATTTTAAAAACTTCAAACAGTCCTTAAAACAGCTGTCCCTTGCTATGTTCTAATAGCATTATTTCTTCTTATATCATCATAAAAATTAGTCTTTAACAGAAACTTAAAAAAAAATAGGCTGTCCTTTGAAAGCATCTATGAAAGGCATCACTCTTCCTTAGCACATCTATTGTGAATGGTGCTAATCTTTTATCTATTATTCCTAAGGGTAGAAGAAATACTGAGAGATTAAGGGACTTGCCCACATCCTTTAGGTCACTAGATCAGAAATTCAGTCTTCTTGGCCCAGGGGAATTTTATCCTGTACCTGTTTCTATTTCTTTGCCCTGAGAGGTGATCCATAAAGTAGGCAAAGTACCAATATTATCCTTTTTTCTTGAAACAGAATTTTTTTAAAAAGAGTAACTTTACAGTGGAGAAATCTGATACACACTACTTCAGCCAGGTGGTAAAGATCAATGTCACCAGTTATAAAACATGAAGATAGTTAAGTACACTTGATATGTGATGAAAATGGCACTTAACCTCTGTGATCCTCCTTTACCAAAACCAACAATCCCAGTCTAATCATGAGAAAAACAGTAGTCAAATTCCCATAGCAGGGCCATCTACAATATACCTGACCAGTACACCTCAAAATCGTCAAGGTCATCAAATACAAGGAAAGTCTGAGAAACTGTCACTGTTAACAGGAATCTAAGGAGACATGATGACTAAATGTAATATGGTATCCTGAAACCAAAAAGAGTATTAGGTAAAAATCAGGGAAAGCTAAAAACATCTATGGATTTTAGTTAATAATATATCAAAATTAGTTCACTAATCATAATAAAGGTATCATATTAATATAAAATGTTAATAGGAGAAATTGTGTTGAGAGGTTATATGGAAACTCTGTACTAACTGCTCAATATTTCTGCAACTATAAAACTGTTCTAAAAAATCAAATCTGTTGATAAAAAGAAATTAAGGTATTCATGATGTTACACTTTTAGTGACTTCTGTCTTGTTGATAAAATAACTTCTTATAAATCCCAACCACTTTTTACCTTAACTGTTTCTAAAAGTAATATAAATAATGCAATTAGAAGAGTAATAGAATCTATCAGGACATACAGGCAAAATTTTGTATTTTATGAATTAGTTTTTCAATCCTAAAAGGAACTTTCTTTGATCAGGTTTTCATCACAAAATAGAGAATTCAATTTTAAGTGGGCACTCCACCAAAAAGTCTCCGAAGGCAAACTTAAGGGTTTGCTGGATTTGTGTTCAATCACAGCAACCAGCAGTGAAAATTATCTACATAATCACAGGCATGCAGTGTGTATAAGCCTTAACTCTTCAAAAAATATATAACTAGCAAAAATTAAAATGATGTGAAGTTAATCTAGACCACTGACTGAATTTCAGTGTTAAAGCAGACGCTGGGGATAAAGCTGTCTGCTACATCAAGGAAAATAGAAATGACGACCAAGGAGGCAAAGTGACAAAGATGCAGCCATAATACCGACTTCTTGGTTTGGCAGCTTCTTGTTGCCCAGGTTAAGCGTCGTCTTGGGAAGTGCTGCTACCACAGAAGAGGCTCTTAATTTGGCAGTTTCCTAAACATGCAAAAGCAGCAGGTCTCTTAGAAGCCAGTTCTGCAGCACGTCTGAGTGGTTATTCTTGGAAGCCTGACCTGGAGCTGTTATCTTCAGCCTTCCCAACAATTCTGTGAGTTCTCTATACCCTTTATAAAACCCTTTCCTGGGCAAACTAATCAGAGTGAATCTTACTATATGCAACTAACAACCCCCCCAACATATATGGATGTGAGGGTGCGTGAGGAAAAGTACAGTGGCAGATAGGAGAGGGCAGTCACCACAGATAATCTGCACAGCACATAATCTTATGCAACATTTTTTTTCCTACGGACCACGGAGGACGTAAAGTCTTAACATTAGGACTTATACTTATGATGTGCTTTTTAATTCTTTCAAGTGTAAGATGAAAAGACACTCTGAAGTTATTTACCTGGAGATGTTGTGCAGACAGATCAGGAGTTGTAAAAAATAACTGATTAACACCTGCTGCATCTGGAGTAGTGAGGAAAACTTTCCCTGGAGTAGAATCTTGCCTGGCCAGAATGACTTTGCTTGGGGTAGAGCCATCGTGATTTGTCAGAATGAACTGCTTGCCTTGTGTATTATGATCAAGTGCCGTCACGATCTGGATTTTCTGGCCAGTTTGCTGCTCGGTAACAATCTAACACAATCACGTCAAATTAGTAATCAATTCAACTTATCTTTTTTTTTTTTTTCTCTTTAAGGGCACAATTTTCTCCTACCTTCAGACAAAGGTAGGAAAGCATACCATTACATATATATTCAATACAGTACACATACATACATACATACCTTTTAAACTAGCAATTCTACTCCCACAAAATCCCATCCTATAGAAAAACAAATGTGCAAATAAAGGTACAATAGTAAAAACATTTGGATCTATTTTGATTCCTTCCTTCCCCTTCCCTCCCACCTTCCATTTAGACAAATGTTTATTGGGTGCATTCCAATTGCCAAGCACTGTTTGTTCTGGGTCGTGGAATATAGCAATAAACAAAACAAAACCTTTGTTCTCATAAAGCTTTTATTTTAGTGAGGAAAGGCAGATAAAAAACAAACAAGCAAATAATATTGTCAGATGGTATCAAGTGCTACAAAGAAAAAATCAAGCAGGGTAGAGATGGTGACAGTCACTGATGGAACAAAAGCCACGAGGAGATGACATTTTTGCACAGACCTGAGTGAAGTAGCAGACCAAAGTTTAGGACTAGCTAGAGGAAGTGCATCCTTTACCTGGGACACAGGGAGAAGGCCGTGGGGCAGTGTTTCACACATTTGAGGCAAGAGACACTGCAAGAGAGCTATGTGAGTGAGACAGAGTCACAGAAGGGATTATGGCAAAAGACGGGATCTGAGCGACAGCAGGAGCCACGTGGTATGGGGCTTCGTAAGGACTACAAAATCTGGATTTCCTCCTGTGTGAAATGGAGATCCACTGGAAGGTCACAGAGCAGAGTGGCAAGATCTTTTTCAAAAAGGGTAATTCTAGATTTAGTGTGTAGACTAGCCTGTGATGTTCAAGAGAAGAATTAAGGAAGACCAGAAAGGATGTTACTGCTCACACACTGGCAATATCTGGGAATTATATATGGGCAGAGATGCTGGCAGGGGACAGGGTAATAGCCATGCTGGAGGAAAAAATGATTGGATTTGGGATATTTTATGAAGGGAAATGTGACAGATATGCTGATGGACTAGATGTGGAATATAAGGAGAGAAGAGTCAAAGATGACTAGCAAATTTTGCTCTGAGCAATTGGGAGGACAGGATTGCTATCTACTGAGTTGGAGGAGCCTAGGGAAGAGCAAGTTCATGAATAAAGAGAACCAGCCCTCAAAACCAGCCCAGCATTGAGGGCTTTTGTTGTTGTTGAGCAAATATTTTACAGAGTAAACTCATTAAGCCAATTTAATCCCTTGGTTCAAATTTAAAATGGCAAAGTTGGTTTGTTTCCTACTTTTTTCCATTTCCCTGAAATTATTTTCAAGATTCTTTTCTATGAAAAATTTACAACAAAGTTCTGAATTACTCATCAGTTTTTGTCTAAAGTAGAACCGTACTGATTATAGCTGCTGCCAATTTGAGTTTTCTTTGTTGACCATTATTGCCAGCATGTCTTATTTTTCTGGGTGTACTTTTCACTGCTGTCAATTTTATTTTACATAGGTTATTTCCACCACTATCTTCCCCTAACAATTTTCAATTTTACCTCTAAGATGTGAATTTGAATCAGTTTATAACAAATTTTACCATGTAAAGCTTAAGCTGTTGTAGGCTTCACTATGGATTATTTCTATCAGTATTATTACTGTGAAGTAAACAAAATTCTAATGGCTGACAAACTTATTTCTTAGAGAAGAGCTTTAGGTGCATGCAACGTGTGGTAGTTCTTTGATAGCACATTCAAACTCGACAAGTGGTAGCTTTTTAAAGGCTAGTTGTAATGTGAAACCAGAAACTGTATCAAAATCCATTGATCTATCCTGTAATTTGAATGGATCCTTCACTTGTCAGTGATTTCGTAATATCACACTGGCCCACTGAGTGAGGTACATCTTTTATATGTTGACATGTTTCATCATACCATATCATTACATGGCAGGCAGCCCCTAGGGGAAAAAGGGCAATGAACATTTCAGTATTATTAGAAAATGGTTTTGACCTTGTTGACCCTCTGTGAAGAGTCCCCAGAAGATACTCTGAAAGCCTCTGGATTATGGTACCTCTTACTAAGGAACTGGGCGTCACTGTTCCAGGTCTCATCACCCCTCCACAACTCGTTGTTAGCTGGCTTTCTTCTGCACTCCCGTAACACTCTACACAGCCATCTGTTAGAGACCTTACCACCGTATTGTGACTGTGGGATGATCTGACTATCTCCCACTAGATTTAAAGCTACCTGAAAGTTGAAAGTATCTTTTATTTCTGTACCTTCAGAACCTAGCATATACATTTGATTGATTTATTTTTTAAAAGATTTTATTTGAGAGAGATAGAGAGAGCATGCGTGAGAGCACAAGTAGTGGAGAGGGAGAAGCAGGCTGCCCATCGAGCAGGGAGCCCGATGCGGGGCTCCATCCCAGGACCATGGTATCATGACCTGAGCTGAAGGCAGCCGCTTAACCGACTGAGCCATCCGGGCGCCCCTATACATTTGATTTAAATAGGCTTGATGGATCTGCAAATGAACTGTAAATCAAACATACCTCTCCCATCTGTTGTTCAATAATTTGATGTGCAATTTCTTCTATGGTTGCCATGTTCTAATTGCCAAAATGTCCTGCCAGAATAAAAAGATGCCCTTTCACAATTGTATTCATAAAACATATATACTGAAGAATTTACAAATGAAATCACATGATAGCTAAGATTTATTTCAAAATAATCCAGTTGGGGTGGGTGGGGGAAGGACAGAATAAACAAAACAAGACTGGCCATGCACTGACAATTATTGAAAACTGATGAAGTTTATAGAGGGGTTCATGAAATTATTCTTTTATATATTTTGAAAATATCTATTTACTTGACACACTCTTTTATAAATATACTGTAAAAACTGACAAAAGAATTGCATTTGTTCAGAAGGAAAGAAGATTTCTCCAGAATTATGTGACTGTTCATTAGTGGCAGTTTCTTAAATATTAAGGTTAATTTGCATTTAAGGTAAAACTTTCTCCAAATGGACTTGAGAGACTGAAAGATTAATGCATTGACTTTGACTTTTGCTTTTTCTATCAGACAAGAACACAAAAATTATTTCTGACTTTGTCACATTATATAATTATCTGTCATAAATTGACTTTGGTTGTACTAAAAGCAATGCTCAATATTTAGCTTTATTCAACTATTTCTCACTAGATTGAAAAGCAGTGGCATCACCCTCTCTGGAACCAACTGAGGAAACAGAGCTGCTCCCTGGGCCTGAGTCCTCTGGGCCTCCACCCCCATGAATTGCAGGGAAGGCAGTAAAATTTCTGAGAATTTTATATCAGCAGAAACGATGCCAGCTTGGAATGAAGGAGACACAGATGGGATGAAATGAAGAAAAATTTTCGGACTTGTGTGATTCTTCTAGATGGGCCAGTAGAGCTATTCAGTTTCAAACATCTGTTATCCTTCAAGGAAAGGGGAGAAAGATTCAAAGATGGGTCAGAGGCCCGACTAAGCCACCCAGGTGCCCCTTTATTATTATTAAGATTTATTTATTATTTGAGAGAGAGAGTGCCCATGCGTGGAGAGAGGGGCAGAGGGAGAGAATCTTCAAGCAGGCTCCCAGCTGAGCACTGAGCACGAAGCACCAAGCAGAGCTTGATCCCACAACCCATGAGATCATGACCTGAGCTGAAACCAGTGTCCGACATCCAACCAACTGAGCCACCCAGGCGCCCCTAATGTTTATTATTTCTATCAACATTCTGTTCACGAAGCTATCTGTGTATCTCTTAAGAGAATGGCTCTTCTACAGTTCTCTTTTCTTTCTGAACCCTCACCAAAATTGCCTTTGGCATCCATATTTCTACCAACAATCTCTTCAAGGCAATCCAGGCTTTCTCTAGCATGCATCTCAAAACTCTTCCAGCCTCTATCCATTTCCCAGTTCTAAAGTTTTAGGCATTTGTTACAGCAGCACCCTACTTCCCAGTACCAAAATCCATATTGGTTTGCTAGGGCTGACATAACAAAGGCTAACAGGACTACTTCTGGTTGGGTAGTTCAAACAACAAAAATTAATTTTCTCACGGGGGCGCCTGGTTGGCTCAGTCAGTTGAGCAACTGACTCTTGGTTTCTGCTCAGGTCATGATCTCAGGGTCATGAGATCAAACACCATGCTCAGCTCAAGAGTCTCCTGGAGATTCTCTCCCTCTACCCCTCTCCCCTCCCCGAGCTTGCATGAGCTCTCTAAAATAAATTTTTAAAAAATTAATTTTCTCACTATTCTGGAGGCTAGAACTCTGAGACAAGCTGTCAAATAGGGATGGTTTCTGAGACCTATCTCCTTGGCTTTTAGATGGCTGTCTTCTCTTTGTCTCTTCACACGTCTTCCCTCTGTGCCTGTGTTGTAATCTCTTTTAATAGGGATAACAGTCACATTGGATTGGGGCCTACCCTAATGACCTCATTTTAACTCAGTTATCTCTTTAAAGGCCTCATGGCCTTTAAATACAGTCACATTCTGAGGTACTGGGGGCCAGGACTTCAATATGAATTCTGGGGGGGGCAGCCCATAACACTTAGGCACAAATCTAATAGGAAGCACGCACGATATATATATAAGGAAAGCTTTAAAATGTTACCTAAAGAGAAGAAAAACTAGCTGAAAGAACACCAAAGAAAATGATTATAGTGACTACCTCCAGGGAGAACTGGAAGTTTTGGAACAGGGGTAGAATGCAGACTTATTTTTCACGGACTAAGTGTCTGTTTCTTCTAAATTTTACCTACAAGTATTACCATACACAAAAAATTCATTTTAAGTAGAAAACAAAAAGCCAGTTTAAAGGAATCTTTTCCAGAAATCCTAAAATCAACAGTGTTATCAGCACATCAGACCCAAAGAAGCTACTTCATAATGAAAACTTTGGCAGATAAACTATTTATATATATTATAGTGTATGAATAGAAAGGACTAAAGTCAAATCTCAGTGCTATTATATGAGCAAACAGTTACACTAAATCAACTACCATTTTAGCCAAAGAGACCAAAGAGTATTAGGGTATTATGTGTGATGCACCTATGTGCATCGTATACATATATGAATGCATAGGTTCATGCTTAATTGTATACTTTGTCATCAGCAATGCTACAGGTAGTACAATGCTAAAGGATTTGAATGTTAATATGCTTGGAATAGTATTCTTGAGTACTGAATTCAGGGATATTCGGATTTTTTTTTTTCTTTTTTGCTTCTGAAGAAAAGAGCAGGAAATGATACTGGATTCCTAACTTCTGGAGTTAAAAACTCTAAGCTTAGAGAATCTGACAAAAGCTATACACCCTCTTCAGAAAAACGTACACATGCATGTATTTGGTAGATTCCATTTTGTGATCCAATACATCAATTTTCTACTTCTTTCTATTTATTTTTGGAGGGAAAGGGGCACAGGGAGAGGTAAAGAAAATCTTAAGTAGGCTCCATGCCCAGCACAGAGCCCAATGTGGAGCTCGATCTCACAACCCTGAGATTATGACCTGAGCTAAAATCAAGAGTCGAATGCTTAATTGACTGAGCCACCCAGGTGCCTCTTTCTACTTCTTTGTATATAAACTTTCCGCATTACTGCAGTAGTCTAGAGCCCTTATCTCATATTGTTTTATAGATCCATATAATCCAAACTGGTTAGCAAACCAATGCTTAGGGAAATTTTTTGAAATACTTACCTCAATGAGCATATACCTAAATTTGTATTGAGTGAAACAAATGAGAGGAATTTAGGGAATAGATTTGACCAGAAAGGTGGACTAAGAACAATTTTCCCCTTTGGACCCCTCTCCAACCAAACATAGATATGTACGGTGCATACGTTGCAATATGAAACTACTTACCTATCCTACTTGTAAAGCCTGTTATGTGCCTTAAAGCCAGCTTATTAACTTAAGTTTCGAATCTAGAAAGGCACAGACACAATGATATAAAGTCAAATCTGTAATCTCATTTTCATTATTACTTTTCTCATTAAACTATCAAGGAATACAATACATATTTATGTGTAAATAAATCCACAAAATAATTCAAATACATCATATAATCTTGTTCATTAAAGTTTTTTTCCACCATTTGCAAAAAAGAGGCAGACTATCTAAATTAATCACAAATTATGGGGCGCCTGGGCAGCTCAGTTGGTTAAGCATCAGACATCTTGATTTTGGCTCAGGTCATGATCTCATGATTGTGAGATGGAGCCCTGTGTCGGCTCCACACTGGGCATGGAGCCTGCTTAAGACTCTCTCTCTCCCTCTGCCTGCCCCCCTCCCTCGTGTGCTCTCTCTCACTCTAAAACAATAAATAAATAAATTACAAATTGTATCCAAATGTATTAAGTTTTACTAAAATTTAGAAATTCCCAGAGAATAGGATTATTCACTCTGATAAATGAAAGTATTTACAAGGGGGAAATGTTAAAAGTAGGTAAGAATGAAGTAGGTATTTGGCATAAAATTAGGCATTTATGATAATGCATTTAGTCACTTTGGTTGTGCTAAAAGCTCAACTACGGCTAGTTTAAGCAAAAAGGCAGGGGGTGGGAGAAACAAGATACACACAGCTAGGACCCAAGCAGAGCTGACCTTGGGAAAAACTGGAGCTTGGGTTTGTGATGCTGTCAGGAGTCTCCTTATCTCTATGTTCTTTTATTATCTCTATTGTATTATTTTTATTATCTCTATTCTCACCTATGTGGCTTATTTTCTACTTTGTAGTAAAGCACCAGGAAAGGAAAAGCAGTCTTCTCTAATCACAATTTTAAAATTTGGTTAATAGATTCTGATTGGCCAGCTTAGGTTATGTGCTTATCTCTGGAATTAATCACTGTAGGCAGGCCAGGAAGAGGGAAAGGAAGGATTGGCAACTTCCACTTTTGGAAGGTCTATTTACCAAAAGATGGGAGACTAGCATAGACATGGCTATTGATACAATCATCATGAGCCAGGCAACCACTTCAATTTGTTTCTACTATTGATACACAGAATTCTTCAATCAGAAGTCCACTGAACACTAAGCTGCTCAAAAAGCTTACTTCGGCATTGATTCTAATTTTCTGTTGTCAGTTGGAGAAATCCCCCCCAAAAAAGAAGGGTAAAAAACCCTTATACTTATAAAATATTCTATCAAGAGTTCTCCTTTTGGCTACTTCCAGATCAAAGTCCTTCTAATTTCTTGCTCTTCTGTGAGCTTAGTAAAAGACAAATTTAGTTTTATAGCCATATTGTTTTAAAACAACCTCCACAGTTTCTAGAGAATTCACAAAATAAATTTTGAATTTTTTCTAAACATAACAAAACTTTTTTGTTTTGTTTTAAGATGATAAAAAGGCATAAGGAGCGAGGGCAAGGCAGCTTTTAATCCTCCATATTAAAAACTTGAGGCCTGGAGCCTTAAGGACTGGAAGCCGTTAGACTTCCTCATGAAACAAAAAGATATTAGGCGTTATCAATTACCCTGATATATTGATAAACAGAATCTTTCTGATGAGGAGAGACTACTGACATTAGAAAAGAATCAAATTAGTTTTGGGTTACCAGTCCAGATTTTATTCCCAGCTTTCAAGTTAAAAATGAGGAA